TTCACACTGGTGTGTAAGGCAGGAGAAGGGCTGGTGTGGTGGAGTAGCCAAGAAAGCCAGAGTAATTCTAATTCTGGCTTTGGCCACCACCAGAGTGTTTTTCCATGTGGGAAAACCCTAGTGCACACAGCTGGGAAGCAGGAACCAGGGCTGGTGGGAAGGAGATCTCAATGTGCTGCCTCCCAGGGATTACAGAGCTTTAGAGGTTTGCCCAGTACATGTTACACCCCAGGGTCAGGCTGGCTCCTCTGTCCTGCCCAAGATCCTCTAAAGCAATAGGAGAGTGGAGCTGTGGATGTCTGGGGTGGGAAAAGAGCCCTGTGGTGGCCTCATGTCCTGGGCATGAGCCCACTCCCTGTGCTGGACTGGGGCAGGAGTCCTGCCTGTGCCCTCTCCAGGGGATGCTGAGCTGGATTTACCTTGACTGTTAATCAGAAAGCTTCATATAACATGTCCAGAGCTCTAAAGCCATTTTGTAAGATAGCAGTGTCCCTTTTCTACAGCCTTATTAATGAGTAGAAGATCTTTAAAATGAAGAAAACAAACAAACAAAAAAAAAATTGCTCATTTCTTTCTGTGGTATGAAACTTGTGTACTGCGAACTTCTGAACATTTAGCAAAAATACAACTTACAGTTTTCTTAAAAAAAAAACAAAAAACCAACAAAAAAATCCCCAGCCTGTCTGCTTTCCATACGGTCTTTCCTCAGGTGCTAAATAAGGGTTCCAAAAATGGATACTGCTTTAGGAGTTTCTGCTTTATTCTTAAAATACATATTTTTTTGCTTAGGTGTTGTAAAGATATTTTAACAAGAATGTTTTTTTTTAATGTAAATAAGATTGTGTCTTTAATTTTTGTTTTATCTCCTTTTTGTCCATATTGAATAGTCTAATTTTCATTTTTGAGAAGGACCCTCTTATGCCCTTCCCCGAAGACATTTCATTAAGTGTTGCTGCATTTAAGAACGAATCTACAACTGTTCATTGTCTTGGATTAATGCTGATGCTGCTGCTATAAGTAACCCTGAAAATCAAGAATGTGTGATGCACTTTTGTTTTTCGTTTTCGTTGTTTTGGTTTTTTTTAACGTGACCATGTAGTTCCTCTGCAGATAGCTGAACCCTCCTGTAACACAGCCACTAACTGGGGGAGTGTAGGAACTGGGGGAGCTGGGGTGTAGGGCAGGGGTGGACCTGATTTTGGTGCTGACCTATGGGAATTTCTATGCAAACGCAAGCAAAGGAGAACTCTTTAACTTGAGAGAACACTGTGCTTTTTTATTTTTTATTATTTCTTTTTCTCTCCTTCCTTTTCTCAAGCTGCTATTGGAAGGGTAGTGCAAATCCCCGAGGTTTTCAACTTCTCCTTCCTCCATGGCTGGTGGTGCAGGAAAGGTGCCTGAGTAACTTGTAAGGTAGAAAAACCTCAGTCAGCTCTTGTCTCGTCTCTGGTTTTAATATATTTGTTTTCTATTTGAATTTATCTATAGAAGGAAATTGCTCATCTCTAAAAAAAGATCTTTTGAATGCTTTATCTCAATGTGAAGTTAACCAGCAGTATTAAGGATTGCATGGCCTCCGTCCTGCCCTTATCCCAGTGCTGGGGACCCACCAGCTCCTTCTCCACCTGGGGAGCACTCGGTGCCTGGGCTTGGATGTTTTCCAAGAAAAAAGTGAGGTGAAGCCATCCACCCAGGCAAAACCTGCCAGTAAAAGGCTTAGGGAGCAGTGGAGGGAGGTCTCACTGCATCAAGTGAGGCACAGGCAGGTCCAGAACCTTTTCTCTTCATGGGTCACACTGGACCATGGTGGGGGATGTGTACCCTGGAGGAGTTTACTGGAGGGGAAAAAGGGATTTTACTTGTCTATTTATAGAAGATCCTTTAGGAATACAAAGTACCTCTCTGCAAAGTGGGGGAAGAGTAAGGAAGGTCTAAAGTCGTGTAGGAAAAACACTTGGGAAATACAACTGCCTGGAAAATAGTCGACAAATACATAGGCCAGAGCTCTCTGCCTGTCTAGTTAGTCTTTTCAGCATCAATTTATTTCATTTTCAGACAGCGTTTGCTCTTTTGCACACTGAGGTGTGTGTGTACATCTGACTCAATGTGCCTTGCATGTGTGCTTAGTCTTTCTGGAGAGAGGTGCTGGGGTGTGAGCTGGGCATGTGGACTTGAGGGCCACTCCCCATCCACAGTCAAGGGTTCCTTAGTGCCCCAGTGACCCTTGGGATCAAAATGAGACCTGGGCTCCAGCTTGTGTAGTGGCTGTCTTAGTTTGGGGATGATGTCCTGTGCAGTGGCACCTGTGACATTGGAGGGCAGTGGGAGAGAGAGAAGGAAAAGCTGCTTTGCTCTTCTGCGGACAAAAAATCAGCATTGCCACGGTTCACCTGCAGAGCCAAAACAAATCGAGTCTGGAACCAGCTTTGCTGGAGTTCAGGCTCTCTGTGGCACCATGATCCCATTATCCAGGGGATTTATTCCCTGCCAGGTTGTGGTTCTTGTTTCTGTGGGGTTTACAAGATTTTTTTTGTGAAGGAGAAGTCAACACGCCTTGCTTGAAGTTAACGAAATCCAAACGCCTGTGTTTGCAGTCAGTGACTCAGAACTCCAAGCTGTGCAATTCTGGGTTCTCCATCTCCCGCCCCAGCGTGTGATGATTCTGTCCGAGTCTTTCTGTACTTCTGCCACAGTAAATGTGAAAGCTTGCTTGCATTATTTTTTAGAAATGCATTTTGCACACTCGGGTTTCGCTGAAGCTCCGTGAAAAGGTTAGTTTGAAGCAGATGAATAAAGCTATGCACATGTTTTGAAAGTTTAATTTGTGTCTCATTACCAGAAGTGACTTATCTGCCCTCTTTTGCATTCCTGTGCTGTCATTGCCTCCATTCTCTTCACCATCTCGGAGGGTATGATGTAAGGTGACAGTTCTTTGCTGACAGCTGTAGCAGAAAACTGGCGCTTCTTGATTTTTTTAGTAGCCTTTCTCTCTCCTTTGCTTTCTCTGTATCTCTCTGTATAGCTATATAAATATATATATTATTTTTTTATTTTAAAGAGCCTACTTTAGTAATTGAATCGGAGGGAGCGGGGTGTGCTGGCTTGTGTTTCAGATACACTTTGTGCTGTCGGATGAACCAGTGCCCTTCTTGTCTCCGGGGAGAGCGTGCTGGTGGCACCCACCGGTGTCCCCACGGGGACAGGGAAGTCCCCACGCAAAGCAGCTTTGGGGAGGGGATGGAGACCAGTCCACTGCGCTGCAGGCCGGTGGCGTGGGCAAACTCGAGGCTTCTAGTGACAAAAAGAACCAAGAGGAATCCTACTGCTGTGTATTCCCACTGTGAGGCAGGAGGGACAGGGTTCCTCACTATCCCGCTGCGAGGCTGGAGTGGAGACGGGGTTCCCTCCAGCCTCAGGGGTGAGAGCTTTATTTTGGTTTTGTTTTCATGAGTTAGGTGCATTGGGTTGCAGGTACCACCTTTGGAAACATGTTGCTTAGCCCAGAGCCTGTGTGCGGGAGAGTCGGGATTTTGTGACGGGAGAAGGACCCTGACAGCTTTCTCCTCCTGTTCCCTTCACCATGGCAGAAATTTGTACTAACTTGACAGCTTTTTTTCATACAGAACAGGGCTGCTTTTCTATCTACCATCACACGTGTACTTACACACCTTCAGCGGCTTCGCAGCCTCTGAAGGTCCTCAACTTGTTTACTGGGGGGACTGATGCCCCTCTCTCCCCCTTCCCTGAATATTTCAGTGTTAAGGGCGGTGCAAAACACAACCGCGCGCTTCGACTGCGAGCTGGGGCGGGAGGGGTCCCTGCAGGCAGAGCCGGGCAGGGCCTGTCTCCTCTCCTGCCCCCCTTCCCCGTCGATAAGTTCTCATTTCGTTCCTGGTTTGTACTCAAATCGCTGCGAGGGGTTGTGCTCTACCTGCTCAGGAGCTGAATTACCTCTGACCTGCGGAGAGGGGCAGCCCCTCTTTGGTGTCGATGTTGTAGTGTGCGACCACACGGATCAGTAAAGGTAGTCTTTGTTTCCTTCTCCCCTCCCCGGTGATTTCAGATTAGGTTAATGCACTCGGTGTGCCCAGCTGGAAAAGCGTAGGCGTTTTCCCAGTGGTGAGAGGGTGGCTAGAGGAGTTTAGTGTAAAACCTGCTGTAGCTGTGTCTGGCGCAGCCCCTTGCGCTGGTGTGGGTGATGTCACGGACTGTAAGGATAGGTAATGTCCATGAGCTGTAATGGCATGATGTATCTTTACCAATGATGTCATACTTCACACTAAATGTTTAAAAAAAGAAAAAAGAAAAAAAAAAAAAAAAACAACCTTACCTGAAATTTTGTTTATTCTGCACCAACAGGTCTTCAAAATTTATCCAAATTTTATTATTTTATCAGGAAAAAAAAAAGAAATTTGTGTAGATCGAATACGTTAAGACAGACAATAAGTGATGTAAATTGTTGAATAAAAATTTTAAAGTTTGTGGGTGTCAGTGTGACTTTCTTTTTTGCGTTTTCAAGGAGCAGCCTGGGTTTAGATCCCAGAGGCCTGGCAGTGCTGGCCATAGAGCCCATGAGATGTGTGTACACAGGTGGGGTGGATCCAGGTGTCCTTTACTTTGTCAGGGGAAGGAGAGGGCAGGGAGGGGAATAAACAAGGGTTTCTGTGCAGCAGTGGGGGTCTGAACCTCCCTCAGTGTGAGCCCCACCTCACTTAAAGCCCAGCTTAAAATAAGTAGGAAAGAGTCTGATCCCTGCTCCTGGGTTGGGGATGTGCCACCTCAATCCCGAACACACACCAGGAAACACACACCAAGCTGATTTATCTTTTTCTTTCAGTCACATTTATTGGCAATTGTGGCAGTCGGTACCGTTTTGGGAGTGTTGTTCCATAAGCAGTGGCAGAACGAGACGGGGTGGTTATTTCGGGAGGGGAGTATTAGCACCAAGAGGGAGCCGGTGAGCCTTCGAAACCTTGCAGAGCTGTACTGGAAGTGGGGAGCTACTGCTGGACACGCCTGATGGATTGGATCTGGGAGGTCTGGGCGTGCGAACCCCACTCTCTCCAGTGCTTGTAGTCTCCACCGTGGTGGTCAAACTCCAGGACGTACTGGTAGCCACGGTACCCGGGATACTGGTAGCACACCCAGCTGGAAGAAAAGGACAAAGAGGTAAGCGGGGGGGTTACAGGATGTCCCCCTCCCGCCGTGGTGGCACAGTGGTGGCAGGGGATTGTCCCTGCTGCTCCTGTCCGTGGCCGTCACTTACGCGCCGCACTGGATCTTCATGGAGCCCACTTCGTTGTTGGCCCAGCCCATGGCCTGCAGCGAGGGGTAGTCATCAGCAATCTCCCACTGGCGGCCGATGAAGTTGTCTTTCTCAAAAATGGTGATCTTGGATTCCTTGTGATTCTGTGGGGGAGAGCAGGGGGTGAGGGGGAGGTGGTGCTCCCTCCCCAGCGTGGGTGGGAATGGCAGGGCTGTCACTCCCTGTGGCATTACTCAGAGGGTTCCTGGAGAGGGAGGTGTTCAGACCCTGGTTGGTTGGAGTTTTCTGGGTGGCTGGGAGGTGTCAGCTATACCACAGCTACTGTCTCAGGCTGATTGTCCCCTAGCTCTGGTCATGTACAGCTTGCCCAGAAATTCCCTCCAAAGCTTTTAAAAACAACAGAAAGAGCAAATCCTGCTGGGACTGCGGGGGGAAGCGCTGAGCCTGCCCAAGGCATAGCTGTGTTTTCCCTTCCTAACCTCCCTGCTGTGGCCTGGGACATTTTAGCGGGATCAGAGCTCCGTGGGACACTCACAGCGGAGCAGACGGGGCGGAAGGACATCAGGCGCTCGATGTGGTAGGCGTTGCTGCCGCTCCAGGCGTCCCAGCGCGGGTACTCTCCCCTCTCCAGGATGAACTGCTGCCCGCAGAAGCCGGTGTGCTCGTAACCCACCCAGCTGCAAAAACAGAGCGAGGGCTGCCAGGGCTTCCTGCAGCAGCTCGGGGCATCCTGCTGGGAGCTGGCATTAGGGGCAGGATGTAGGTGCAAGGAGGAGGTTGGGGTCTGGCCTCTGCCCACAGGTTGGGAGGAGAGGAAGCGGTGCTGGATGTGGGCAGAGAACCCAGGGAGTGTGAAACTGCATCTGGTGCTGCAGAGGCACCCACACGGCATCCCTGGCTGCGGTGGGAGGTGGGGAGATCCGGGGGTCCATCCTGCACAGGTCTCTCTTCCCCCTGGCTGATCTGTCATCATTTATGCAGACCAGCATAGCTTCAGGATGCCCCAGCTGACCTTCTCTCCCAAAAGCCTAATTTCTCACTTGTTTCCCAATTACAACCTGACACTGCTGGAAAGACCTGAATTCCTGATGCCCACAGCAGGCAGAGCCCATCTGGCTCTGAGCAGAGAGCAGGGACCTATGGCCTTTCCCCTTTCTGCCTCCCCCTCTTGCTGAAAACAAACAAGGAGAGGTGAGTTGGGATGCCTCCACCCTGCAGGACACATTTTGCAAGCCCTGGTGCTGCCCACACAGCACCTGCCTGTCCCCAGGGTGGGGATGTCCCCCTAAGGAGACTGGGGACAGAGCCACAGGCAGAGCAGGGAGACAGAGCCTGGCCTGGGGGTTGGAAGGTGGGTGGCACGGGCTGTGCAGTGCATGGATCCCCTACTGATGGAGTACAAAGGGTGCTGAGGGGGTCGAGGGTTTCCTGCCACTGACCCAAACTGAGCCCCAATGCCATGTCCTGCAGCTAGCCCACCCTGTGCAAGGTGAACAGCCTGATTAGGAGCACATCAACTGGAGCAGGGAGCTGATTACAGCGCGAGCACGCACGCTGCTGTAATCCCATTAGCATTACACGTCCTAAAGATAGCAGCACAAATCTGTCTGTCTGCTCCCCGCCCCGGCGGGATGCGCACCGCCGGGACCTCTCCCAACACCCCGCCCCTCTCAGCTGCTCGGGAGGTGCCTTGCCTGTGCCAGGGAAGATTCCCGTGCGCAGGGAGAAGCCCAGCTCTGCTCCCTACCCCTCTCAGGACTGGAGAAGCTGCGGGAAGGTTCTGCCCTGCTCTAGGAAGCTGTGCAGTGGCAGGGAAAGGCCAGGGCAGAGCAGGGCTGGGCCCTGGCCAAGAGGTGGTTCTCTAGGGCTGGTGCTTCAGGACAGGGACTAGGCTAAGCCAGGCCACTCACTGAGCACTGACCCTCTCTGCATCCTTGGGCAGCAACCCTGCTCCAAACCTGACTGGTCCAGCACTGCAGGAGGCAGTTTTGGGTGATGCCAAAGGTGTTGCCACTGTCTCCTGGCCCTCTCTCTGTATCAGTGCTGCCCAGAGGCAGGCTGCTCTGCCCTGGCAGGGTGGGATCCCCCAATGCCTGGCTTCCCTTGGCTGTAGTGCTTTTCTCCAGCCAAGCAGAGCGGGGACAGCAGGTCCCACTCCACGCTTGGGCACCCCTCTCCCAGCCAGCCTGCCTGGGAAAACATCCCCTCCTCTGGCAGCTGGGTACTCACGCGCCACATTCCACCTTCAGGGAGCGGATGTTGTCGAAGCCACATTCCATGATGTTTGGACAGGCCGAAGTGAACTCCATCCTCTTGCCCTGGAAGTTTTCTTGGTCGTACACGGTGATCTGGAACGGAGAGCGAGCTGCCGAGTTGGAAACTGCCCAGCAGTGGCCTCAGGCAATTCAGCACCTCTTGGAGACGGAGGGTGGCTCCGTCGGGGAGAGAGAGCCAGCAGAGGCTGCACCGGGCACCCTCTGGGCTGGACACAGCCTCGCACGCCTCCGCGTCCCTGCACTGCTGGCCCCGCCATGCCCTGCCTTGGTGTCGGGGGAGCCGCAGGCTGGACCCGCTCCGCTCTCCTGCTCACCCCTGCGGAGATCAGTTCCCGGGGCAGCGGTGCCGTCCGGAGAGAGGAGCGGAGCCGTTCTGGGACGGGCGGGTGGCAGGGCTGTGGCTGGCGGTTCTCCCGGCCTCTGCTCCGAACGCTCTAGGGCAAAGAGGATTAACGGGGGAAAGGGCGAGGGGCACCTCCCTGGGGGCTGCGGCTGACGCTTTCCTCTCCCGCGACAGCTCCAGGCTTCGACGGGATGCTCCTCACTTGTGCACGTGTTTCTCCTCTCCATCTTGGCTTCCTCCTCCACCACTAGCCCCGGGGCTATTGCCAGACCCCTTGGGGCTGCTCCCCATCTTGCTCCACACTGCCCACTGCCCATGCTCACCGTCTGCATGGACAGGGGAGGGTGAACTACAGCTGGTGGCTTTTGGGGACTCTGTAACTGCCTGTCATGGGGTGGCTGGTAAGAGCAGGCACAGCTGGCCCGGGGTGCTGTAAGAGCCTTATGAAAAACACCCGGGAGGAATTTGAGCAGGCAGGAGGCACGTTCCCAATGGCAGAGGACAGGGGTGCCTGTTTCCTGTGCTCATCCCTGCCTTTCTGCCTGCTGTGCAGCTTTCCTGGCCCCAGAGGATGAGCTTTGCCCTTCTCCCTGTTCCCTACCTGCACACAGGGAAAGGTACAGGGAATGTGAGGACGTACCTTCCACGGGCCCATGGGAACAGGCAGAGGGTTCGTCTGAGCCATCTTTGCTGCTGGATCGGTGTCTGGAGAAGGAAGAAAAAGCCATTTTTACTGCAGCATGTCCCTGTGCATCCCCCCCTCACGAGGCTGGGGACAGCTCTGTGCCCACCACCCACAGCGCCTGTTCAAGGACAGCTGCCCCACTGCTGGGGACAAGCCACACCAGTCACAGCAAGACCCTCTTTCCAGCCCCAGGATGGGGAACAGGACACAGTAGGGGGCTGTGGGACACATCCAAAGCAAGGTGCTCCCTTCTCACTGCTGCAGAGCCCCTTCCCTCCTCCCTGCCATGACATGGAGCCTGCACACCCACTAGGGCACAGTGCTCAATCCCCCTTTCTCCTTCCCCGAGGCCAGACCACCCGTAGGAAAAACACCCCCGAGGCAGAGCAGGGGGCTTCAGTGGGCACGGGCTGCCCTGTGCCTGGCACTGTCCAACAGACCTGCCTGATCCCCTCTCCCTGCCCGGTGTCCCCTGGGAGGCACGGTGGGCTCCCACGGACAGCCCTGGCTAATGGTGGGAGATGCCAACCAGCGTGCCGTGCCGGTGGGTGCCAGCAGTGGGGTGCCCTGCTGTAGAGGGGCTCTCAGCCCCCCCGGCTGCCAGCAGGGATGTGTGAGCCTGTCTTATGCCACAGGAAACAGCGACAGGCCCTCTGGGTGTCTTTTGCCACCAGGCAGGAGGAAGGGTGTCTGCCCAGCCGGCTGGCAGCAGAGGGGTGAGGTGGGAGAGGTGCGCATCGCTCCAGGACTCACCTAGCTCAGGCGGTTACTGCTGCTTCGCCCATGTAATGTTTGCCTACTTCAGCGGCTCAGCTTTTATAGGGTACTGCTGGCCGGGAACTGGTGCCAGCGTTTGCAGAGCCGTCAGCACAATGCTTGCTCTGGCATTGTCCTGCTGATCCCCGGAGATTTCAGCTGCTCATCCCCATGGTCTGAGCCACATTCTTAGGGAAAAAGAAAAAAAATTTGATAATAAAAAAAAAAAAATAATCGGGGCTGCTGTTTGCACAGATAATCTTGGGCACAAATGACTCAACGATTTGACCGCGCTGGCATTTTCCAGGGGCAATGCACCGCGCCGTCACGGGGTGAGCCTGGGGGCTGGCCCGGCCCTGGCGCCAGTTGGCACCGTGGGGACAGCAGGGACACCTCCCCGTGAGACCCTGCGGGTGGTGGGCTCGGCAGGGTGTCTGCCAGGCACTGTCACTTCGCTTCACCACCCAAGGCGTGTTCCTTATCACCGTGTTGGCGTGGACACCCTCCTCCCATCACGGGCGAGGAAGCCTGGAGGTGAGAACTGGCGTGGCCCTGGCAGACATGTCCCCACGACCACACCGAGCCCCAGCGCTCCCCACAGCGCTGCCGCCACCACAACCCCACGCCCGAGACCCCTACCACGGCCTTGGGGAGGCCTCGGCCCTGCGATCACCACATCCAGCAGCCCCGCAGCCCCCTCGTCATGCGGGGCTCCCGTGGGGCGGACACTGCAGGCCCTGGGGCACCACGGCGGGCACAGCGCGGGCCGTCGGGGGTCACGAGGCGAGCGTGGCGGCGCGGGCTGCTGCCTCAGCGCATGGCTGCCAGCACAAAGCTCGCCCGCGTCTGACTGCCCCTTTTGTCTCCCGGCTGGGCAGGCGCGGCCGCACAAAACAAAGCGCCCCGTCAGCGCTGCCTGCGGCATGGCCTGGCGCCCGGCCCGGGGGACCCTGCGGGGACGCGCGGCGGGGTGGCACCCGACCAGACGGGCCTGGTGGGGCTCAGCGGGGTCCCTGGGAGCCCTGCTGCGGGCAGGGCGCTGTCCCGATGGGGGAAGATGGGGTGTGTGGGGGTCCTTCCCCTCGCTGGCTGCTGCGGGGTGGGTGTGCCCGCGGGGATCGCTGTGACACAGGGCCGTGGGGCTGCACCCCCGAGGCCTGGCGCGACAGCTGGCAGTACCACCGCATCCCAAATTTGGGTCAGCGAAGGGGAAGGGCAGGACCACCTGCCCTCTGCAAGGTGGTGGGATGCTCCTGGGAAACCGAGCCAGCACGCGCATGCTGGGCATCCCGGCTGAGGGGGCAGGTCAGCTCGGAGCTCGCCCTCCAGCCCCTCGGACATGCCCTGGTCACGGCTGCGGCCACCCCAGAGTGTGGAGGCTTTGCCAGGAGCCTGGAGCCACTAGAGGGAGAGCTCAGCCCAAGCAGGATGGGACAGCACGGGCGCATGCGGGTGTACGGTGGGTGTGTGGCACTGCACACCCCTCTGCACCCCACGCGGGCACCTGCCTCCCCTTGCTGCAGCAAAACTGTGTCTGGCTGAAAACCACCCCAGAGCAAAACCTGGAGCTGGCAGCCACCCCAAGCCAGGGGCAAGGTGGGGGGAAGCAGCCTGCACAGCCCACTCTGGTCATGGCCAGGGATGGGTCACTCTCAGCAGATAACAGAACCCCAGTATGGCCCAGGCTGCTGTGGACCCCCAACCCCTCACCCTGCTGGTGGGGCAGGTGTCCCCCCCCAAGGGAACACAGCAGCAAGTGCCTGGGGAGCCAGTGATGCTGGCAGGTCCACAGGTTGTCCAGAACAACTGGTTTTTCTAGATCCAAGAGACTATAAAAATGCAGTGACCTATTTAGGGAACCCCGCGGTGCTGCAAAACAGATACTTCCCCTCCCAGCCCGGCTACGGGCCCTTGTCCTGGCCAGCCATGTGCGCCTGCCAGGGGCACACAAAATGCCACTGGCACCAGAGCTCTCTCCTGCTTCTGCATAGAAAACCCTGGGCAACACAGAGAGTTTCCTTGGATGTGGGATTTGCTGGTGCCTGGGGAACCCTCTGCCAGGAGAGCTGCTCAGGGCAACCCAACCTGTTTCTGGCAAAGCCAGATGGGATCACATGGACAGGAACAGCTGGTCAGTTTGCTGGAAAACACAGGGTGATTAGCTCTGGGGATGCGGCACGAGAGTGGCCGCAGTTGGTGGCTGAGGGTGGCAGAGCTGTGTGGCACTGGGGACCCCGTGCTGTCCCACAGCTCGGCAGTTCCAACCGGCATCAGCCCATCACCTCCTGCCCAGTGTGATAAGGAAGAGGAGCTGCCTCAGGCTGTAACTGGCTGTTCACCCGCCTGAGCCGGGCAGAGCTACAGCCACACAGCGTGTCCCTCTCGCCACCGCAGCTGGAAAACCCTCCTGAAAGCTCAGACAGGCTCTGCTGCCCTTCCAGATCACTCGACCCCATCCCCGCTCTCCGGATGGCTGCGGCTCCCTGCACTTGGTGCCACGTGCCTGGGACAAAGGACAGTGTGACAAAAGCGGGCGGTTGTGCTCACTGCTGCCCTGCACGGGCTGCATCTTCTCCACCACTGCATCCCTCGGGCCAGGGCCCGGCACAGGGCTCCTTGCTCAGCTGCCAGCTTGCTCTGCCATGCCCCATGTATCCTGCTCTGCTGCTGCTGTGGGGCTGCATCCTGGGCACAGGCTGTGGGCTGGAAATCACAGCCAGCTTTACCACTGCGAGGGAGTGGGGCTTGTGACATCCAGACACGTGTGTCCCAAGAGAGGCTCACAGCCTGATGGCAGGAGAGCCAGGACCACACGACTCAGCCAGAGATGGTAGGATGGCAGCAGGGGTTTGGAGAGAGTCCCCTTGGGCAGGGGACTGTCCCTGTCATCTCTCTGAGCTTCCCAATTAGAAATTGAGCACTGCCTGAAAAGTGCTTTTGGAAAGAGCTTGTGAATGCCCCCCTCAGGTTTCCCTGTTCCCAAAGCCACTCTGCAGCTTCACTGGGCCCAGTTGCTCCCACACTCTATAGGAAGGGAGGTTGTCCCAGCACTGATATGGCAGGGCTTATCCTGAAACCATCTGTCCCAGGATTCTCACTGTACGTGACGTCCCAAAGCTGGACACCAGTGGAAGGGGTGTAACAAAGACGGTGCCGCTCTCGCTGCTGGGTGTGCTGGGAGATGCTCATTGTTAACCCTGGGCTGTCTCCTGGGCAGAGCAGCCACTGTCCTCACAGTCAGCCCCTGACTGCCAGGCTGACAGCCCTCGCTGGGGCAGGTGCTGCGGGAGAAGCTGCAGAATGGCTCCACAGGCAGCTCTGCCATGGCCAGCTTTGTATTCCCTGCACTGGGGCCAGCAGGCATCCGTCACCCTGCTCCAGCCTGCAGCCTGGAGCCTTCCCTGCCTGGATGCCGTGCTGTTCCTGACGGGATTCTTCCGAAAAGGAGAACCCCAGGCGTGCGCGTGTGCATTGTGCGATGCACGGGCTGCGTGTGTGCACCAGCGCGAGCTCACAACGTGCGAGTGTGTGTGAGGATCGGGGGGTGTGTGCGTGCGGGGAGTGCCGGACGGACGGCGTGTCACCGTGTCACACCGGGGGTGTGCACACACCGTGTGTGCGTCTGCGGGGGGTGCGGGGTCACCCCGGTCCGTGGGTGTGCGGGGGCGGCTGCGCCCATACCGGCAGCGCGCCGGGCTGCGGGCGCCGGTCCGTGCGGTGATTACAGCCGGGTTGCGGGTTCAGCGAGGTTCTCGGGTGGGCAGGACCGCCGCTCCGCTCCGTTCCGCTCCGTGCCGACCGGAGCCGCGCCCGGCGCGGCGGGCGGCGCGCGCAGAGCCGGCAGTGCCCGCCCCGGTGCGGGG